AGATGTGTGCAGCGCATTTTATGGAGGACTGTTTCCTGATCCTGTAGACTACAATGCCAGCTGTTCTGACTCACAGACTGTAAGTACATTTCATTTAAAGGATTTGCAACTGATAATTCAAACGTGAGTTTTGAGCAGTGTAGAGTAGCGTTTGTAGTTTGTCATTTCTCCGATCACAAATGCAGACATGGTTTTATGTTTACGTGGCGCGATGCAACGCAACGTATAAAAAGACAGTATAAGTCATTATAATCCGTAATTATGTCCCCACTGGATGCAACATGCTTCGTTTATAATGGGTTTTCATGTTTTTTATTTCGTCGCTCAGGCCGGGACACGGCATCAACAGTATGGTGAGGGCCGTAACATTTCCGTCACACGCTTGAGGTATTCGGCCAATCACAACGCACTGGATAGCTGGCCAATCAGAGCACACCTCGCTTTTCAGACCGATGAGCAACATCATATGGCCCCTTTAATTACTACAAACTCATTTATACATTTTTGTTCAATCTGCTTGCACCTCACTGATGGTTAGGTTTAAGGGTGGACCAGCTTACGCTTTCTTCTAAAAAATCATTTCCGTATGAATCACATTGTACGTATTCATATGAAATCACCACCTTGTTAAATAGTTACACTTTCCCATGAGATCTGCTTGGTAATTGAGTAACTTATTGCATTAACCAATGACGTTTTTGCTTATTGAACTGTTGCTGCTTCTCTCAGAGCAATAGATGGTATAGTGACATTCCCAAATGTCCTGTTTGCTTGAACAAATCAGTTGAGTGATTAATTCAATGACTCATTCAAGACAGCCTATACTTTACTACCATATAGAAATGGAAAACACTATGTGATTAAGTAGTGTATTCAATATTCAGTATTCATAGATAGTATTCAGAAAACAGTAGGTTTTTTGCCGCCGTCATGTTGTGAAGAGCTGTGTGTTTCGTTGTGAAAGCAAAACTACTTTGTACCAGGATGATCTACTACTTTCGGACATTTTACAACCCATGAGGCCATGGGAGAGAAGTTGTGTGACAGCGTAAATAAAAGACAATATGGTGAATGTAGTGTTTGGATTTCATTCATACTACACACATTCATACTATGAGCATTTTTAACAGTTGTGAAGTTATTAATTCAAAAGAATTACCCACTCAGAGAGTATTCAACTTTGGACATTTAATTTCCTGAATGAATCAGTGTGTTGCATTTGAACAAATTAGTTGTGTGAATGATCCAATGATTCCATAAAAACAAATACTTTTCTTTTGTTCAATGAATCAGTGTGTTTGAACGAACCAGTTGATGAATGATTCAATAATTCACTCATAACGAAAATAACTTGTAAACTGCAGAAAAATGGTTGCATAAGTAAATCCAACATTTACCTAGATTAATAAATGCTGTAAATTCTTGTTCATTATTACTTAACGATGCCTAATGCATTAATTAATATGAATGAACGGAACCTTATTGTAAAGTGTTACCCATACACAAAATGCATTTAGGAGTGTTGCACAATTTTATTCTATAGGGGTGTAAAACGCTTGGCATGCCAGCATTCCTACTGCTTCATGCTTCACAAAGAACAATAAAACACTTTCTCAACTGTCTTCTCAGCTTCTTACACTGGCTGTAGTCATTTTACAACCTTCACTCCCTCTACCAGCATCTGCTATTTGTCTTCTGGAGTGCATTCAAAATGCTTCAGCTTGACTTGTCTTTAACCTGGAATTCTCTCCTGTTATGCCTCTGTTGCCTGCCAATACGACGCCGTTTCTGACTTTTACACTACTGCCAATGGCCTGACGCCCACTACCAGCATAGCCATTACTGTCAAAACAGCTGATTTTTCAATACGAAGGCACAAAGGAGCATAGCTTTTAGAGTTATCTTCTCCTCCATCCACATTCACCTTTCATAAATCCAAAAATATTTAAATCTAGTGAGGTCTGAAACTCACAGACCCCTGGACATGCTTCTATTTTGCATTTTTCTAGTTTAACACTACTCTTTTCAATCAAGTTCGAATGTGAAAAACCTCTTGATCCACGTTATCCAGCATAATGAAAATGCTCCAAAGAGTATCTTGTGCTTCAGTGGAAGCAGGAACATTGGACGTTTTGTACAAATATGCACTAATATAGTCGTTGTCACAAATTTGCTTATTTGATGCTGCAGCTTTTAGCTGCCTGTTTCGGTAATATCCATTTGCATGATACATGCACTTTGTGATCACTTTAGAAAGAAAGCTTCTCTTATGGACATACATAATATAAATGTAATTTCATGAATATTGTGTTTTGCTATCAGGTTATTTCACGTAAATGTATTTGAAATGACACAGGCATAAGGAAAGCCTCTACAGTCACGTTATTTGCGGGGATATTATATTGCTGTAGACAAAAATGCTCTCTACAGGAACCTGAATGGAATCAGACATCAGGGACTTGCACTGATTCCTCCAGTAAGGAAAACTGGCGTTGTGCCTTCAGGCTATAGACACTTAATTGAGATTCCCATCTCACTTGTGTTAAGTGGTAACTGTATGGCACGGCCATTTGTAAATTCTATGGATCTGGCTTCCGGTCTCATCTGCGTCCAGCTAACAGTTAGTTTCATTTATGTGGTTAAACAGTTTTATCATATACATTATAGATACTATAGTGTATTATATTATTATAATAATTACTATAATTATTTGCTATTATTTTAGCAGTTCACATAATGCCATGTTTGTTTAATTTTCTCTCAAAGCACATACTTGACTGTCTGAACCTTGCAGGAATGCTTGCATCACTTGTCCAGTAAATTAAATTGGCCCCATTTAACTTGCCACCTTGACCCACTGAACAACTGTAAAAACCTTTGCCTTGCAGAGCAGGTCTGTGTTAAGAGGGTGGGCCAATGCATGTGTGAGTTATGTGGGTGAGAGAGTTTGTGCGTGTTGCAGCAGTGCACACAGCTCTGGAGGTTATTTTGAAAGTGACCCCCTCACTGCCGCGGACCGCTCACAGCTGTCGGGAACCATGACACAAGATGACGGATACGGTTGTCGTAGAGGGACAAGTCAGACTTCGAGAGGGGAAAAAGGTGGTTAAAAGCAACGCAAACTACTTTTACTCTATCTTCCAATGTTATTCAAAAAGTTATATTTTTGTTTGTTTGCATATACGAATAGTATTTTTGTTTGTTGTTTTGTTTCCCTGCGATTATAGTGGAAAAACAGATGGGTGCTTCTTCGGAAACCTTCGCCGGTTGCAGGTAAATACGCAGAAAACTTTTTTACGCTGCTGTTTAAGTGTTGAGATGATACAATATTAATCAAAATGGCTGTTTTTGTTCCATAAACGTACTTTCTACGTAGCAAATACCTGACATATCGCTGTCACGCTTGTTTTCCCCCGTGACGGTATGTGAGGTATGGTCGTTATGGTCGGTACAATGTAAACTTCAAAAGTATAGTACAAAAAGTTTTTGTGTTTATATCCGAGACCGTGGCTAGTTGTCACAAGAGCTATCACTGACGTTTTCCAGTTAAACACATGTGTAGACAAATCTATAGTTTTGTATGTTGGTTTCAAACTTTTAGCGAATTCTGTCCTTTAAGCTAAAATCCAACAAACCAATACCATCATATTTTTGCCATAGCTTATGTTGACCCATGCATTTTAACATTTATTAATGCCATTTGTATAGGGAACGCAGTAACTCCATATAAGCAGCACAATAAAAACACCTTACTTTTTCCATTTTTGTTCTTTCATTCATTATTTTGTTTTTCATAATTGCATTACTTATTATACTTGCTTTCAATTTAGTGTATTGTAGTGACAGGTTTTGCTGTTAGAATGGATCCAACGTGTAGTTCAATAAACTTTTTCCTGGGTAATAATAGAAATGTTCAAAAGTATTTTGGTAAATAGAACTTAAAGGTATGCATCTATACATTTTGAAAATAAACTTCCCTTGAGAAATATTCACAGTCTGGAGATAAAAGCATGACAACTATCTTTGGCCTCCTCTATGATATGCATCAGCATTCACAGTGCAAGTCATACACTTACATAACTTCTTTAGGTGAATTTGGCTAGCGGATAGGTCATTTTTGGATCCCTGTCGCCTGAAGCTGTCATTGTTTATTAGGTTAGTCTCCAGTTGCTTTCATGGATCACTGTCTTTTGATGTGTGTGATGACAGCTGCTTGACTCCTCGCATACTGTTTTAGAAGTCTGGTGATGTAGAGGTTTATTCTCTCATACAGAAGTGTAAAAACAAAACATCACCACATTTTCAAAACAACCAAAAAGTGGAGGCGTTTTAGAGACAATAGCTTGATGCTGTCACACATGCAACACTAGTTTATGGAAAGATACAGTTTATATTTCATGGCTCGTTAATTGCGTCTGATGTATATGTTATTTTGTCAATTGTAATTCCTGATGATTATGCAAATTATGACATCAACTGCTGCAATTGTAGTACAAACACAGTATTGAAATTAAAAGAAAAAGTACACTTTTTATTGCCTTAAAGAATAATTATTTTATTTGACATGAATGGTACCATGGTACATTCATGGTATTAGATGGTACTTACACCATGGCACTGAATGATTTTGTGTACAGTGATATTTATATGGAACTCCAAAGATGATACTGCCACATTAAACATCCAAAAATCATGGTATTGCCACTGTAATTTTTGGTAGTTTTTGTTACTCTGAGATGCATTTCTGATGAATCTGTAATCTTGACTCTGTCTCAGACTGCCTGACCTTGCTGGTGTATAAGGAGCGTGGAGAGAAGAGTAAAGGACAGCGGGAGAGGAATCAGGCCACGCTGAGGGATATCTGTGGACTGGAGGCACTTCAGGGGTTTGATGGAATGAATTACGTGCTCAGTCTGCTCTGCCTGAGCCAGTCTGTCATGCTGGGCTTCGACAACAAAGTGTCTCTTCTGGCCTGGGATGCCCGTATCCGCTACAGCCTTGGAGAGGGTGAGAGAAGAGCGTGTGTGTGTGAACACTGATCAGATGAAAATGACCATTAGTTAAAATTCTGTCATTATTTACTCATCCTTATATCGTTCCAAACCTGCATGCTGTTATTTTTTTTGTGGATCACACAATTACTTTTTTTATTTAATTTTTTTTAATCATATCATAGCCATCCAATGGCAACGCTCATAGTGACTGAGGGTTGTCAAGCCCCAAAGGACAAAAATAACACCAAAACACGCGCACACATACGCACACATACACACACGCACACAAATACATATATCAGACAATTTTAGTGCATTAATATGAACGGTAATTTTTAATTCTTAAGTATTAAAGGGGTCATATGATGCGATTACAAGTTTTCCTTTCTCTTTGGAGTGTTACAAGCTGATTGTGCATAGATAAGATCCCTGAAGTTGCAAAGACTAAAGTCTCAAAACCGAAGAGATATTCTTTATCAAAGTTAAGACTCTGCCACGCCCCCCTAAAATGGCTCGTTCTAACACGGCCCCACATATCTACCTCACTATGTGGAAATATTTGCATAATGCTGCCCAAATGTTCACGCAAAGAAAGAAGGCGTGGTTTCAGTAACCACAGTTAGTGTTGAAGCAGCATGTCAGGGAGACGCTGTGTGTTTCTAGGCGAAAGCAAAAGCACTTTATTTGGCCTTCCGAAAGTAGATGCATTTAGGAATCTTTAAGATTATTTACAACAGAACAGCAATGCATTTAATGTTTTTTCTCCACACCATGCACGCGGATTGGTTGAACCAACCTGAAATATGCCCATTTTTGCAAAATTGAAGTACTAATAGCTGGTCGACTGTTACATAACTAGTCCTATATCCGGGTCCGAATCCCTTCGAGTGGTGGATGACTTCCTCCACAACCCCATGACTTCAGCAGTCAGAGGCCGCCGCAGGCGCCAGTGCACACACTACAGCCATTCACACTGCCCAAACACGCCGCACGGCATGCTGGGAAGGGCTAGCAGCGAGTGAGAGAGCCACTGTCTTCATGTTTACTCACCGAAGGCAGCAGTCATGGCTTTAGCTTGGTTATTTAAGGTAGTTTTCCTCCGAGGCATGGCTTATGATGGAGGAAAAGGTGAGTGTGTCGTGGACGCGTCGCTCTGAAAGACGTTACAGACGCCTCTGTTTGCTTTGTGGCAACATGAACACTCCAGCTCTTCACATTTATCTTAATTATCACGTTGCCAACGGCAAATAGAGAGAAATTCTGTGATATTAATGGTGTAAATGAAATAAACAGACTATTTTGGGCTTTCATTAACATTTTTGCACTTTCGTGAAGACTTGCCAGAGCTTGTTAGTCATAGATATGAGATTTATTTAGCTTATGCAGATTGGTATCGTTCAGGTTAATCTGGTCAAACACACCTGTCTTGACCTCTGCGCGCACACACACACACACACACACACACACACACAGGCGTGTGTCTGGTTATAGTTCTGCCACCTGGATGCGGTGAGTTGATGATTAGTGTCATATGTCTTCCGTCAGACGCAAGCTCCATTTACTTCACTACGCCTCATTTGCTGCCACAACTGAGCTCAAAACTGGCTCCAAACCCGTTAAAATCAGCCGAGGGTTTGAGTTGAAAGCTCACGGGCTTTTTAAGCAACACTTAAAAAAGCTTTAAAATCAAGCAAGGGTTTGAGCAAAAGAGCTCTGGGACTTTTTAAGCAGCATTCAGAAGTTATGATTTTACTGTCAGATGCTATAAATGTGCTGTGCAGTCTCGTCCAAATCAGCCCCCCCCCCCCCCCCCCCCCCCCTCTAATTTTCTCGCTCCCCACTCCCCTCCCTCTCTCATTTTCTCGCTCCCCCATACTTACAGAATCAGTACACATTACTTTTGTGCACCCACACACAGATTGTGGTAATGTGTGATGTGCTTCAGTATAAGATGTTGCGTTAGCACCAGTGAAACCCACCAGCTGCCTCTCTGGCAAATCCATCTGCAGCTGTTCTGTAGCTTCAGCAGCTTTAATGCTCCATCTTATATGAAACTTCCATACAATGACAGCCATGTCACAACAGAAAAAGTGTGTTTTATTGCAGTTATAATCAGGGTAATTAATCTGTCACTTCTAATGGTATTCAGGGTGTTTGTTAGATGCTGTCTGAATGCGCTATGCAGGGAACTCTGGGCAGTTTTATGTGTTTAGATGGTGAGGCGGCATGTGAAAGGTCTCCTGCCAAGTGGAGGAACTTGAGGGGGCAGGGGTGCTCAAATTAGACACCAGACTCCAAACGTACCTCTCATTGCTGTAGTAGTACATTTAGTGCAACATAAGTCACATGTAGTTTTGCACAAAATCTACACCTGCAGAAATTCACAAAAAGCTGTAAATCACAAAAATAACTCAATCATTTAGAAAAGTTACACTTTCAAAATCATTTAGATAATTTTAGAAGGTTCCACGTTCCATGCACGTTTGTACTAATTTCTATTATTTCATTATTAATATTGAAATTAAATAATGTTAATATATATATATATATATATACGTTTTTTAATTTTTTTAAATATGTTAAATGTAATATTAAAATAATGTTACATATAATGTTATATAAAGAAAATCTAACAATATTTAAATATTATATTAAAAAAAATGTAAAAATAAAAAAACAATAAATATTTATTTTAAATATTATTAATTAATTCACATAAATCAAGATGTAAAAATAATTTTTTAATTTTTTAATTTGATGTTTGCAGATACCATACCAATTAGCCTCTGTGTAATTAAAATTTTAAAAATGTTCCTTCAAAACCAGTGCAGAAAATGCGAAGCAAAAGATCTGCAGATTAAATCCACTACTACACTGCAAAAAATGCTTTTCTTACTTCGATTTTTTGTCTTGTTTTCAGCCAAAATATCTAAAAATTCTATTTTTTAGACAAGTAAAAATTATTGTCTTGTTTTCAGCCAAAATATCTAAAAATTCTATTTTTTAGACAAGTAAAAATTATTGTCTTGTTTTCAGGAAAAACTATTCAATATTAAGTGTTTTTTTGTTGTTGCTTAGAACAAGCAAAATAATCTGCCAATGGGGTAAGCAAAATAATCTTATTTCAAACAGAAAAAAATGTGATTTTGCATACCCCATTGGCAGATTATTTCGCTTGTTTCAAGCAAAAACTCACTTAATTTTGACATGTTTTTTCTGAAAACAAGACAATAATTTTTACTTGTCTAGAAAATTATTCTTGATTGAAACAAGACAAAAAATCTAATTAAGAAAAGCCTTTTTTTTTTGCAGTGTAACAGCTTATACATTCTGAAAATGTATGGAAATCCATAAAAACAGATATGAAAATGCATACTAAGACAGCCAAGTTCACATTTAGATACACACAGTGAAATAATGACTTTGTCTGGAGCATATATCTGTTAGCCAGTGCTTCACCTCATTCCAATTAGACAACCACACAGAGCCACACAGAGGTCATGTCCCTCCTACTGCCATTAGTGTAATTCAGCAGTTGGTTGCTCTGGGACAGAGTGAATTAAATGTAAAATATGGCCTTGTTGCTGTTTCTAGCACGATTCAATGTCACAGGTCACATGCGGTGACAAAACACATACTGGCAGTGCAATTAGTGAGCGTGTCAGCTGTCTCATTTGATTTCAGAGAGTGAATGTGTGTGAGTATGTTCACTGGCTTAGTTTGTCAACAGACTTGGACAGATTGTAGATCACTGGTTTCCCTGCTGTCAGGTAGGGCATTCGTGTAAACAATTTGGCTGGCATCAACAATAAAAAAACATGTCATGAGATCTAAAACAAGTTGAAACTGACAATGCGATTCTAATTACAAGCTTCTGAAAGTGTTTGAGCTTAACCTGATTAGAGTTGTTGTACGTGAACCATACATTAGTTATACAACTTTATATACTGCATAAAAAATTCTTAAAGTGTAGGTAATTAGAAAATACATGTCCAGACTGTAATACTGGCTTCTTTTATTGGACACTGCGTAATATATGGCTTACTTTAAAAAAAATATATATATGTGAAACAATGCATTATGCAGTGATAAATGTTTCAAACAGAAGTTGCATGAAGTTTTAAAACATCTGGCACATTAAAAAGTCAAGAAAATATAAAAACAAAGTTGATACTTAGAATTAATTTGTAATGCTGGAAATTAAAGGTGAACCGCTTTGCATTGTGGGACAGGATCTTTTGCAAGATTTTTTCTCGATTTTTAATGAATGGTGATGGTGAAAAACACTGTAGCTTAACTATAAAAAAAGCAGATGTAGGCCTTTTTATTCTCTTAAAATTTGGACATGGTAAATAACCACATACATGGCTCATGCCTGAAGTATTAATAGCCTGCCAGTGTGTTTATGAATTATGAAACCAAGAGCTAAGGGTGTTATGGTTATTTTTATAAAGGACTGTCACTTCTATACTGCCCACCGTCTCCACAGTGACTCTGAGGGATTTGACAGGACTATATTTACCTCCATGAAAGACTCTTTCCTCATCATGTCCTACAAAGAAAAACAGTCATAATCTGACTGTGGATGAATCATTAATGCATCTTGCAGCAAGTAAGGCATTTGTTACCCCACTCTTCCCATTGTACTTGAAGCCTCAAGGCTCTTTAATAGCTTATGTTTTTTTCAGTAACATTCAGCCATGCTTTTGCCAGCACTTGTTTTAGTTTGAAAGGCGTTGCAGGCTTTGTAGATGCTATTGATGTTTGTATGGAGCAGATTTTCTTTGTACACAATCCTCCTCTTATTTCATAAATAATAAATGATGCTCAATTAAAAGTGCAAAAATAAAGTTTAATTAATTTTTTCTTATCTCAAAGAGATAAAGAGTTCCACAGCAGATATAAACAAAAATGATCAGTCTTTAGAGATAAAACATTGCTTCAGACAATTACCCTTTACAATAAACTTTGAATGTCTGATGCATTTATGATTTTTCTTGGTTCCATTGTCTTGAATTAGTCTATATAATTCATTTATTCTGAATCAGTGAAATGTGAATGTTCTCATCTGCTCAGAGGAATAGCTTGATGTTCCCCATTTGTAATAATCGTGTGGTCATTACTGAAACTAATCTTCTATTCAGTGCTATGGACAATTAATATCAATCTGAATTCGGTGCATTATGTCTTTTGAATAAAACAGGCTCAAGCTATTTCTCTTCTCTCTGTCTCTATAGGGGCTGGTGTTTTCTTCCTTGCATGTGCAGAAGGAGAACAGATCAGTTTTTTGTTCGATTGCATCGTTCGTGGCATATCGCCAAGCAGGGGGCCGTTTGGACTGCATCCAGTCCTGCCAGGTGAGTTCATATTTGTGGAGGTGTGTGATGTAAGATCTCAGTTCAAAGATTTCAAAGTTGCCATGTCCTCACTGTTGGCCTCATTAGCTTGATGTGCGTGAGCTGTCAGCTGTATGCACATATCTGTGTCTAAGCTCTATGTATGATTGATATGTGGTGTCAAGTTTCCCTCTCTCTCGTTATCTCTCCCAGAACACTCATGTTCTGCTCAGATTGTCTACTGGTTCAGTGTTTGGAGTCCCAGAGACTCCTATTATGTATATGAAATAATAATACTATTTTTTTAATTAGCCTTTTATTTTCCTTTCATTTTAATTTAGAGACTTTTTTTGATCTAATTAAAACCCAGTATATCATATATTATATTTTTGAATATCTGCCAAGCAGTAGGCATGCACTTCTCAGAAATGTGAAATTAAAATAAACAATAAAAAATTAACTGATTCAGAATTTTATTATGTAAAAAAGCATTGCATTATTTAATGTTTTTAAATTGGATTCCCTGAGATCTCCAACATACTGTAATGTAAAATTTTTAATGTGACAAGGCATTTGAAACATGTTATCAAATTGAAAATTTGTTCATAATCAGCTCTCATATTTAAAAGTCAATTTGATGTTAAATATGTTTTTGAGTTGTTAAAATATTCCTGAGTCTCTGAGACCCCAAACAGAACATGAGGTAATAAATTATTCCGAAACTGTATAATGAATTTATGTCCCTAGTTTCAGATTTCATAATGAATTATGACGTGTAGTACACTTACTCAAAAAACTTTAAAAAAACCTTGTATAACACTTTGAACAAACATAGCAATTGCACATTGTCCTATTATTTTCATTAGGCAAATTCTGTGACTGTGTCACAGTTATCGGTAGTTATCGAATATTTTTATTACTGAAAAGGCACTGGCAGATTTTTACATGTAGCTGTAGCAGGATGCCATAGTAAATGATGTTCATTAAGTTTAATGAACTTCAACGAGTCTTACTTTGTAATGGCAGGCACTTTTTGAATCTAGGCACTCAATGGCGCCATCTTGACCGAGGATAATAATATCTGTGTGGTGCTTATCTTTTTAATGGAACCTCACATGACTTCTCGAATACTGAATTATTGTCCTGAAAATCAATGTAAGATTCACATTTAGTTTATTGATCGATTCTAGATATATTTACCACGTAAGCATAATAGTATCTTAAACCTTAATGAGTTTGACATATCATTTTATAGATCAACCCGTCACACTGAAAAACAGAGAATCATTTAATTGAGCTGCTTTTTTCACTATTACTTAGTGATATTGAGCTAAAATGATAGTCTAGCAGAAAGGTTGTGTGCTGCCATGATTTCTGTGAAGAGAAACCTGTGGAGAGCTGACACACGGTCAGTAACATGTACGAAGGATATGGATATGAAGTGGCTTAAAGCTTTTCTGTGGTTCATTGCTAAAATTAGCACAGCCGTAGTTAAAATGGCTTTCTACATAGTCAGAGAGCGTGTAGGATAGTTCTACAAAGATTGATCCGCGAAGCTTCAATATTATGCCCAGGCTGCTCCAGGACTGTTCCTTGTAATAAATGTACTGTGTTGCTTTGGAAAAAAGTGCGTGCTAAAGGACTACTCATTTACATAGACCCATTTACAGAGGTGATCTATACTGGGTGGACTTGTGTTTTGACAGGTGTTGTTTTTTCCCCCTTCATTACATTGATGTTGTGTACCACAGCCTTAAAAATATGATTATTCAAAATTGGTAAAGATCTTTCTGTATTTCTCTGTGGACCAACAACGAAGACAACACAATCATTTTCAGCACAGTTTTGATGATGGTGATGATAATAGCTTGCTTTGTAATCATTTTCCTCAATGATTGCTGTAGGAAAGTATAAATATATAAATCAAAAGCCTTAAAGTTTGTTTACTTCTATGTTTATGACAACACATTCTATGAATTCTCAGATGAATGTAATGCCACATTACATTAAGTTCTCATCTGTCGTCCATCATACTGAGATGCCAGAGCAGTTGTTCTGGCTGTCATTAAGTGTCATTAATTAAGTGCACTTGATGTATTTTAACATTTGACATTCAATGAAGGTTGTGCAAGAGTTTGCCAGTAATAAATAAGGTGTACAGGTTATTGATAGCCAAGTTACTCTTCTGTTTCAGCTTCTCACTTTATTCTGTATTCTGCGGAGGAATTTCACAGAGCAGATAAATTGTACAATGACAAACCTCTTTAAATATGCAAAAAGCAAATGCTGTTTTAGCTTTTTATCTTCACATTCTCAGTACTGTTCTTCAGCTGCACATGCACAAAAATGAGCAGCTCATTCAATCTGTATAATAAGTATTTTAACACAAATATATTCTGCAGTTGTTTAAAGAACTGCTGTATAGAAGCAACTTGCAATTTAGTTTTTGCTTGCATGTGAAATATAGATTTTTTTCAGTCTATTTGTTGCCCGTAGCATTGCTTGAATGCTTGTTACACTGTTAGACCAGCTTAAAATGGACTTTTTCATGCTAAAAAGATTCCAAAAAAAATCTACCACTAAACTGTGCAAAGTCTGTGAGTCTGTATGCCTCCATATCGACTTTTCTATGCTATATTCTACTGTTTCTTTGCTCTTGTTTTGTTCCAGTTGTGTCTTCTTCGAGTTCTCCCCTGACTGATTTATTGTCTCATTTAAGCACTTTGTGTTCAGTGTCCTGATTTATTCTATTGTGAGGGAGAATGATTACCAACCTTCTGCCATATTCAAAAGGAGGTCTCAAAGCATTCCGTGTGTGAGAGTGGATACATGTGTGTGAGTGCTTGTGTGAGAGATTATTGCTGTGAGGCTGTGTCTGAGATGTACCAGTAGAAATTGATAAATGTGGCCAGTGGCTCCAGTAATTCTGCCAGTAGAGACAGTGATACAACAGTGATGGATTATATATGACTTAATGCTCAGAGACAAATCAGTTTGTCTGGTGCATATTTGTGTGATCATAAGGATATATGCTGGCGCATGTGCGTATGAATGATGAATGTTTACTGTATTAGTTTAATTAAAATTTTATGAGATTCTGTACCTATAGACCCCAGTGCTAACCCATCATCTATAGAAGACAGGATTAGCCAGGAGGCTTGTGAGCTAGAGAAACGACTCAGTATGCTGTCCATTTGTAGTCACCACAGCAGTGCAGGTAATACAAGAAGCCATACATGAAATATACACACAGAGGAGGCTGTTTTATTCAAATAAAAGGTTTTTGTAAATAACCTTTCATCCATAAATTAATGCCTGTCATAATTTACTCATCTTCATGCTATTCTAGTTTTAGTGGATCACAAAATAGTAATTTTTGAAGAATCTTTACACAGCAACAGTACATAATGTCTGTCAAGCTCCAAAAGGACCATAAAAGCAACATAAAAGGATCATAAAAGCCACTCAAATGCTTTGTGTGGAAAAAAGACGGAAATTGAAGTCGTTATTCGCTATTATCGCTATATGTCAAAGGGCAAGGGTTTTGTTAGGGAGAATGTAGTCAAACTAAAGTCAGAAACTTCATCCTGAAGAGATTTATTTAATGACTGGCTGACTTTATACTACTGCTTATTTGGAATCTGTTTACCAGATAAGTAAATAAGCATAGAATAAATATCGCATTATTTTATGTCACACTTTATTTTAAGGTCCAATTCTCGCCATTAGCAGCTAATTTGCTGCTTATTAATAGTTAGAAAGGTAGTTGTTAAGTTTAAGTATTGGGTAGGATTAGGGAAGAAGAATATGGTCATGCAGAATATGTGCTTTGTAAGTACTAATAAACAGCAAATATTTTAATAAAAGGCATGCTAATAAGCAACTAGTTAATACTGAGAATTGGTCCCTAAACTAAAGTGTTACCTTATTTTATCATATAAAAAAGAAAGGGAGCACAAAGTGATAAAAAAAAACATGAAACCAGCCATGTTGGTTGTCAGGCCCAACATATTGTTCATTCAAAAATACTTGACCTCAGAATGCAGCCAATCAGAATAAAGTTTTCCAGAAAAATAAGTAGTGATATATGTAAAGTTCAGTCTGTCTCGCAGATCATATGGCTTTAAAGAGTTAGTTCACCCAAAAATGAAAATTCTGTCATTAATTACTCACCGTCATGTCGTTCCAAACCCGTAAGACCTTCGTTCATCTTCGGAACACAAATTAAGATATTTTTGATGAATTCTGAGAGCTCTCTGACCCTCCCATAGACAGCAATGTAATTACCACGATCAAGGTCCAGAAATGTAGCAAGGAGATCGGTAAAATAATTAATGTGACATCAGGGGTTCAACCATAATTTTACGAAGCTACGAGAATACTTATTGTACGCAGAGAAAACTAAAATAATGACTTTATTCAACAATTTGTCTCCTCCAGTGGAGAGTATCCACTGAATGTAAACAGCGAATGCTGTTCTGTGTCAGCTGCGTCACGCTGATACGTTTTCTATGTTGTTTACATTTTAATTTGATTAAAATTACGGTTGAACCCCTGATGTCACATGGATTATTTTATTATCTCCTTGCTACGTTTCTGGACCTTGATTGTGGTAATTACATTGCTGTCTATGAGAGGGTCAGAGAGCTCTCAGAATTCATCAAAAATATCTTAATTTGTGTTCCAAAGATGAACGGAGGTCTTACGGGTTTGGAAGAACATGAGGGTGAGTAATTAATGACAGAATTTTCATTTTTGGGTGAACTATCCCTTTAAAAGACAGACATTATAAAATTCAGCACAAAGACTCTTCAAAAGTTCTCCTTTGTGTTCCACCCAAAAAAATCACCAAACATCATTATATAACTCAAATCGTTATTGTTTTTTTGTGTCACTACCTTATTGAAATTCATGTACAATGTTAACAAGAAGCCAGTTTCCAGGCAATCATTTGTTAATCCAATCCTCTCTTTGTCATGATTGGTCAGCCTCCACCTTCAGTTATGGCGCCTCCTTGGCAGGAGATGATCGGAGCATCTCCAGCTCCTCCTCTGAGACCAGCCATTCTGATAACAGCCTGGGCAGCCGCCTGGCGATATGGCCTGAGCCAGTCAGACACCCCACTCCTGTCGAACCATCATCATCATCTTCCCTGTTAGCGTTTGCGGGATCTAAGAGTACAGCCTGTTCTGTCAGCACGTCCAGTGACGAGCGTCTATATGGAGCAATGATGGGAGGGCTCCGTCCCCCATCCAAGCCTCCTCACCCCAGAGGCCTTCAAGAGGCGGGACGCCAGAGCTCAACAGACAGCGGTATTGCCACCGGAAGCCACAATTCTTATTCTGGAAGCTTCTCCTCCTACACTGGTAGTATGGATATTGGGCATGGAGAGACTGATGAATTTGGATCCTTAACAAGCCTCCCTCAAAACCCCAGTTCAAACTCTATCTCCCTTATCAACACTCCAGTACGAACAATTCCTCTAATTCCTGAGCACAAACCGTGTGTGTGTCCACTCAGAGAGGCTGCTCAAATGTACCAGGTACCCACTCCACCTCTGCAGCATTATGACATCCCCCGCAGGCTCCTACAACATCAGGAGAAGTTTTTGACTGCTGCAAGCCAGGGACGGAGGCCTGAATGTGGAGCTCTGGGACCAGAGGGCGTCCCTGCAGATGCTACCCTCAAACAAACTGTCCCACAGAGATTCAATTGGGGTGGGGAAGGAGCAGCACCCCCCGAAGGTTCCACTACACTGCAATTACAGCCCACCATCTGTCCTGACTGTGGGGGAGAAAAGGTAACAAGATTTGTTTTCTTGTTGATTTTCTGCTCTTGGTGTCTTTTTGAGATTTGGATGGAACACCACACTAAAAGTACCTTTTAAGAGTTTCTGTGTTACTTATTAAGCTAAACCCCTACAGAATCAACTGCATGAAACAGACCGGCGTAGTCCAATTTCAGAAATAATGATTCATGTGAACAGATTCTTTTTACTAAATAAAAAAACATATAGCGCAACCAGTGTAGGCAAATGCCACAATGAATGACTCCAAGTCTGCTCTTATTTAGTTTTAACAAATATAAATCAGTGTAGTTTTGGTTCTGACAATCTAGTTACTGACTGGTTCTTAATATGACAACAGACACATTTTGTCAGTTTTTTTTATGTTTTTGAAAGATATGCCCACCAATGCTGCCGTGCTTATTTAATCACAAGTATAATACCGTTGTATTATAAGTAACATACCATATAATATAATAACATTGTGAAATTTTTATTGCAATTTAAAATAACTGTTTTCTATTTTAATATATTTTATAATGTAATTTATTTCTGTGTTGGAAAAGCTAACTTTTTTTTTTTTTTTACCAACCATTACTCCAGACTGTAGTGTCACATGATTCTTCAGAAATCATTCCAGTATGCTAATTTACTGCTCAATACAAATTTCTTATTATTATCAATGTTAAAAACAGTTGTGCTGCTTAGTGTTTTTGTGGATACTCTGATGCATTTTTCAGGATTCTTTAATGAATAGAAAGTTCTGAAAGACAGCATTTATTTGAAATAGAAGTCTTTTGTAACATTTATAATTGGAATTGGAACCAGAAAGGTTAAATTATTTACTGAAATGCTCCTAATGGTCTTTATAAATAACCTGTTAGCCTCCATATGCCTATGGAAACCTAGTGAACTTGGATGTAAAAAATTACACAGCAAACAATGCAAATCAGTGAAGCTTATTACTCCCAAACAAATAATGATTTGATTTGAATGCTTTGATTAAACCGGATAGCTGCTCAGCTATTCTATGAGTCTAAATGCATCTTTTGTCAAAGTATACGGACAAACTGTTCTCTAGATTTGGACTAAAACTTTACCAACAAAATCAGACTTCTGCAACAGATCAGGGCAGTGTTGATTGAGCATCAGTTTTTCGTTATGCACTCCTCTAATCACAGAATCCAGCGTTCCAGCACAAATCCAAAGACTGTTCCAGCTGTCTGTGTCTCTGGATCATGCTCAGCCATCACTTTGATGCATCAGTGGGGAGGCACAACCAGTTTGCAGAATGAATTTAAATGCATTTGTCATCTCGCCACACGCTCCAAGTTGATCTGAGAATGCAATAAAAAGCTATTAAAACAAGCTGCTTTGACCAAACATCCTAACGTTTTTCTGTTCAGGGCAATCAATATTTCACACTGAAAAACATTTCATTCTCAGCACTGTGGCTTAAAGCATTCAATACTTTTTTGTACAATAGTGGTACATTTTCAGTTGCTTATTGTGGCCAGAAGCACATCTTCAGGCTTGTACTAGGTGTTGGTGTAGTCAGTCAATGCTAGTTGTAAAATTGTATTTAAAGAAGTAACAACAGCAACAGCTAAAGCGGTAAGAAATATGGTCCGATAATATATTGCCACATTTTAGTTCAACAGTGATTTTGAAAAATGTTGCTGATGTACAACAGCAGAAGAAGCAGAAATAGCTGGTTTAGTCAATTAAAGAAAATAAATGCATCATTAAACAAGTCTGCTGCTGCTGGTTTGGGATTTCTGAATCACTTCTGTGTTTCTTGTAGGTGGAGGAGAGGAGCAGGTGTGAGATGAGAAGCAGTTCTGAGGAGCAGAAGTCTGACGGTGAGCATCATACAGTTTTAAAGGGCCTCATTTATAAAGTGTGCGTATGCTCAGATTTGATCTTAGAGTGTGTGTGTGCTTAAATCATATCCTCCTGTCTACCAGCAATGGAGTTTTAGGACATTATTTTTTAGCGATTTCTCTGAGACCTTACATGTCACAGTTTTGTCTAGATGTCATGTACAGAGCACACTCAGGGCTTATCAGATATACCAAAATATTGGATGTTTCACCATGACCGCTCCCTCTCCTTGGTCTTTAAAAATGAGCAACATTAATTTAGTGACCAAATTTAACACACTTTTGGAAATATGATAATATTTTGTAATAATCATTTAAATCTGATTAATTTTTGATTTGTTTGTCATAAATCAACATCTCAGAAAAATGTTATGAGGTTTCAAATCAAAATATGACTTTCTGTTATGAAACAGGACATTGATTTCATACATGTCTGGACACCAAGACTGGACTGTAATGCTGTAGAGGACACCAAGCACATTTTGGGGGAGACAACAAATTAATAGGGAAACAATTATATAACAATATTCCTATGAAATATTAGATATTATTCCCATTACTACACTTATTTTTTCATTCTATGTTGCCCCAAAAACACATTAATATGCAAATTAGATACAGTTTATAGATACATTGCATATAATGGGAAAACACATTTATGGCCATTTTACACACATTTTGCACAAATAATTTTTTTTCATATCCTTCATAACATTCTTTATATAAAGTTTGGTATAAATTTTTTTGAAAAAACTGATTTGTGATTAAAGCAAAAATCCCACTGTTTAATATGTTCATGTCTATTCATGTCTTTTTATTAAAAAAAACAAAAAAAACAGGACTTTTTAAATTCCTGCTGTCCTTTACAGAGGATGTCCTTTACACACTTTTTCTTGTCGGAGTTCTGCAGGTTTTTAGAAATGTAAGCTGTTCTTGCAGTTCGCTGTTCTAAATTAAAGGATTTGGACGATGACTGGTGATCTTTTATATGTTAATGGAATTAATTAGGAGTCGTTTACAAGGCAGAGAGCTGAAACCATTCAGTTGCGCCAAAGTCCCTTTAAGAGGGTATTCTATAATCTTTTGGTTGCGCCGCTCGCAAGTTGAAGATCATTTGCGATTCATAGCTGTCACATCTGAAAGAGAGGCGTACGTGCGTTTTCTGTGTGTACTGTACGTTCATTCTATGAATCACACGTACACATATTTGAGAGATGATCGAAAGATCAAATTTGGGATGGTTTCTGCGCAACATTTTATAAATGAGGCCTCTGTATTTGAAATGATAATGATGGTTAAGGCCTCTGAAGACTGTCCTTCAGTCAGGTAACGATACTTTTATGTTATTTCAACAGGAAATGCATCATGCCTTTCTCGTCCCTAAGTACATAAAGCTTTCAACCAGACCTCCACGTCTGTATCGACTGATAAAGTGATTCTAGCCTCAGCATCGACATGTTATAGCTAAACATAGTAACCATGAGGAGAAATTATGATGCTTTGTTGTCACTGTATATGTTATGTTTGTGTGTGCAATATGCCAAGTCAGATTGTTTTCTGCTGATTTACAATTTAATGATATCTGAGCATAAATGAAGCCCGGTGTGTTTTGATTCTAAGTGAATGGCTTACTTGTGATTCATTCTTGTTTTTTTGTCCTTCTCAGCTGATCCAAAAGGCAATTATGAGCAGATGGCATTTATGACTGATGCATCCAGGTGGCCACAGTTCAGAGCTGGAGAATATGGTAATTGAGATGCCCTTCTTATATAGTATATCGCCATCTGATCACTGCATTTCTTTCGCTCGGTTTCATTGGTAACTGTGCATGAATCGGGTTTGTGTTTTTGTCTTGCAGGAGAGGCAGGACTGACAGTTATCGACAAACTTCAAAGTGATTCTGTTAACTATGTGAATATCCCCATCAGTCCTACATCTAAACGCCAGCTGCACTATATGGAGTTAGATCTGCAGGACCGTCCAGAGTCAAGCCACACTGTCAGAGGTATACACTGTGTTCCACTCATATATAGGCTAGAGCCCTGCACGGGCCTCAAATATAGGCCCTAACCTGGCCCTGGCCCAAGACGCTCAGGCCCTAGCCCGAGTCCGACACAAGCCTGTCTTTTTTTCCCCCCTTCTCCCAAAACAGCTTATATTACTGTTTCAGCTATTAAAATAGTTCAGTTTTGTATGTAATGTCAAAGTGATTATATTTAGTTTACGACCAAGCGGCCAGCGGCAGACAGTGAGTTGATCATGTTTGATCAAGCCTTCTCAAATCATCAGGACTTGCCTAAAATAAAATCTATAGATATAAAACAATTCAAGCATATCACAATGTTAGTTTAAATGTTTAACCTACTGTATATAAATGTGCGCTATTAGACGCATATCTAATCGTTTGTGCGGAGAGCTAAAGCACACTTTACAGGACATGGAGGCGCCGTCGCGATCACTTGCATTGGAAACAACGTAAAATATGCCATCATTTTTGCTCATAAAGGTAAGAGTAATACATCACTCGGAACTGTAAATGGTATCCTTTTATTTGTGTGCACTCACAATATCAACAAAATGTTGTGCTTTTATAAAATAAAGGATAAATACAGGATGCGCTTTCTGCAATTTCGGCTAGGAGCGCTTTACAATGATGAACCGAAACTCAGCGAATACTTGCCTCACAGACTTGCTAAATATATCTATAGAACATTTTAAATTACTACTTTAAAACTAAATAATTCAAATCAAAAACAAAAACTCTTTTTACAGATTTGATAAAATCCGTAAAAATGCATTTCTCTAAAGGCGCGTCCAATGAGGAGATGGCGAGTCAGGATCGTCATCTTTATCTTTGCGACACGGACTCAAAAAACACTAATTTATTAATAAATAATTAAAATATCTCCTTACTATTTCCCCCCGACACATTCATGTTAATTACTTTTGCTGGGGCTTTGCGGCACGCTTTAGCCTATTGCGTGCGTTTTTTGCTGTCATGTGCAAGGATATGTTTGCAGATTCTGCACTGCACATGACCAATTGACTCACTGTTTGCCGTGGTAATCAAATCAAAACTCTTCCAAAATGCAGCTTTTCCTGAAGCATTGGGAACTTTTAGTAACTCCCCACGCTCCAACTTCTCCCTGATGCTCAGCATGGTCAACTGTCACCTGTATGCTAATGTGTGCGTATATGCGTTGCGTATTGCATAGGCTATGTATAATGCCTATTATATCAATAATCAATATAACAATATTTCATACAGTAGCCTATGTGTGCTCTGTGCGTATATGGGCACAATAAAAAGAGAGAAGCTGAACGAGCCCGAGTCCAACCCGAACCCGATCTGTAAAAAAAATAAATGGCCCAGCGTGGATTGGACTCAGCGTGTCGGGCCCCGTCAGGACCCGACGGGCTTGCAGGCCTCTAATATAGGCTACTACACATATTTGATCATGGCTGCAACCTGAAAAAGGTGACTTATGCGCACCAAAACTGCATTTATTTAAAGCTGCAGTCTGTATCTTTTTTTTGTTAAAAGTGATCCGAAATCAATATTTGAGCAAGTACATAATCAGCCAGTGTTTGAAACTATCGCCTTACTTTAGCCCGATTCACAACGGTTATCTTAATGTTTTCTAATTTGAGTTGTACGGGTAGGTTTTCGCGGGACATTCGAGCATGGCATTGCGTCATTACGTCACGTCTGTGAACATAAAGAAGTTGTCCCGGCTACTAGACTATCACATGTGAGGATCCTGCAGGTGGCCGATCGTTTATAGCCTTTCCTCACAGCAGCCAGAATAATTAAATGCATCATTTTGATGACGGATTGTAGTACAGAAAGGATTGTGTGTTTATGAAACACATGTGAATGAAATTAAATTATATTCCAGTTTTAAATGTGCTTCTGATTACTGATAGCCTGGGATGACAATTAGAGATTAGACTGTACAGAAATTTTTATCTACTCGCTTATACACACTATACTCATAGTCACGCAATGCTGATGTTGTTAACATTAACAATTTGAAAATAAAGTATAACAATAATAATAATTTGCACGGTTTGATGTGATGTGAGCTAATTTAGATTTAATCACCATTGGTAGCGCGATTTATTGTAATGCTTTTTTCTTCAGTTGGTCAGAACAAACGTGGCAGACGTGTTACTTGTTCAGATGACAATATACGGTGAAAATTCTTATTCGAGTCATATATTCCAAGACATAGGCTAGAATCTGTGAGTGCGAAGTACAGTAATATCCGGTGACTGACTGCCACATACTCCTCAAAACATTAGATTAATCCGTGCTGGAGCCGTGCCGGCGCACAACCTACGCAAGGAAGATAATTCCGCAAACAGCTGCAATTCCAGGTTTTCAAACAGAGATGGCGACAAAGAGGCTAAACTTACAGACTGCAGCTTTAATCAAAAATGCAGTAAAAACAGTGATATTGTAAAATATTATTACAATTAAAAGTAACTTTTCTTTTAATAAAATTTAAGATACTGTGTCATTTATTCCTGTGATGGCAAAGCTGAATTTTCAGCATCATTACTCCAGTCCTCAATGTAACAATGATCCTTCAGAAATCATTCTAATGCCGATTTGCTGCTCAAGTAATTATCAAAGTTAAAAACAGTTGTGCTGCTTAATGTTTTTTGTGAAAACTGATACCTTTTTTCCAAAGATTTTTAATGAATAAAAACAGCAATTATTTGAAATAGAATTTTTTTGCAACAATGTATAGCCTAAGTCTGTAATGTATGCATCCTTGTGAATACACTTAAATTAAATCAAATTTATTTCTGTGAATTAAAAAATCTTACTGCTCCCAAACGTTTGAACAGTATTTTAAACTATTAGTATCTACAGTTCTTTCTGTTTTGGGTTTGAAAACAAATGACCATCCAGCTGTGTTTAGATTATTCTAAAATATTAAAAGGGCATTGCACATAAAATAAATAAATAAAGTTGTTAAATACGTTGTTTTTTGTGTGTGTGTTTATGAACAGCGGCCGGCTCCAGCACTAAATACGCCCACATTGACATCACTGCGACTCAGACAGCACAGAGGGTGGGAGCCCAGCATGCACAGGGCCGAGAGGAGAGACTACAGGAACTAGAACAGAAGAGGAGAAGAACACTCACCTGAAAATATAATGAAGTGGAGTCAAAACGTCTGAGACTACATTGGAAATATAGATCCCCCCCCCTTTTAAACTGGGTTTGTGCATTTTAAAAATGTTAGATGAAAATGTTTATAATGGGTATATATTTAATATAACATTTTAAGATGGTGTCATATTTTAAATCACTTTTGTGAATTGTGAGCACATTTTTGAAAACAACTTTTAATAATATTCTTGCATCTACTGAAGCACAAAACATCATCAGGTTTTACACAAACTTCTGGCGTTCATGCAGATCAAATACCATTTGTCATTTTTAAAGCAACAAAGACACAGAGCAAATGTTAAGAAATTCTTCAATTCATATACCTTTTTTCAATTCAACTTTTAACTCAAATTGTTATGCTGAAAAAATGTTTGTTAGAGAAATGCATATTAGAATAATTTTTGGTAGTGGTCTCTCAGACGTTTAGACTCCACTGTATATCAGTGGTTCTCAACATAGGGTCCAAGGTCCACTTTGGGGGCCTCAGTATGACTTAAATATATTGTTAATGTAATAAAAAGATCTAACTCTAAATTAAAATAGGAAAAGAATAGATACAACCAAGATATAAACTGAGAAATATTAGAGGGCCTTTGCAAATTGGGTTGGACTTTGTTGGGCTTTCAGTTGAGAACTGCTGCTGCACAGTATAACGTGAAAGGGATAGTTCAACCAAAAATGAAAATTACCCTATGATTTACTCACCCTCAAGCCGTCCTAGGTGTATATGACTTTCTTCTTTCAGACGAATACAATCAGAGTTATATTAAAAAAATGGCCTGGCTCTTCCAAGCTTTATAATGGCAGTGAATGGGGGTCCAGATTTTAAAGCCCAAAAAAGTGCATCCATCTATTATAAAATATGCTACACAGCTATGGGGGGTTAATAAAGGCCCCCTGAAGCGAATCGATGCATTTGTGTAAGAATATCCATATTTAAAACTTTGTAAATGAGGCTCGAGAGTGAGTTTACCACAAGGAAATTTTCATTTTGGGTGAACTATCGCTTTAAGTTTATTGCTGCATTGTATATTATGTGCAGCTTTGTGTACAAATGTATTTTCCATGGTTAAAATTCACGTGGAATTAAAAGGTTATAAATCTGAAAGCAGATCCCAAATGCAACAACTGTTGACTGTAAATATATACTTTAATTGGTGACCAATTTTGTTCTGTACATTTACACAATTAAATATTTCATAAACTTTTTTTTTCAAATATTTTCTGAAATTTCTATGTTGACTACAACAGTAGTAATAAAAGTGATACGTCAGTGACTAGCGTTGCTCGTCCTTAAATGCTTGATGCAATTGTCTACAGCTCAGCATAGCAAGCATTTGACATCATAGAAAACACAAGACTTTGGAAGTTTGTTTTATTATGAAAAGTGTAACATGAAATGAGTAGAATATGGACTTGTACAAAAGCGATCCTATTATTTATGGAGATCACGTTCATGATAATACATTACAATGCTGGATTACCATATTTTTATGAATATGAGGATTTTAAATCACAAACTAGTTAGTAATAACAGTAGAATTGGAAAGAATTAATTGCCGTTTATATTAGAATTTTTATGACAAATCTCAAACGTCTTACTGATGGAACTGTTTAAAAAGTGATGTTGATTCAAGTCTACCTTGGGACAACACTGTCAATCATGGTGATGGGCTTTGTATCCAATGCTATTTAGAGATTCAGTCAATATCATAGTTGACTCTAAAGGTCTGCCTTGCCAAATCCGGCTTGGCTTTTTCTTTTCTTTTTTGGCTTTCTCTATTACACTCCAGCCTTTTTCACTGAAGCACACCATTTTCCTCAATCTGTCAGGTTGTGCTATTATTCTAATATAAATCACGCCTGTACAGGGGTAGCACTGTTGTTCATGAATGGGTATTATTCAGTTTAAATCTTAGGACGTTCAGGACTGGGGTTTAAGGCAGAAAAAAAATGGAAGCTTTAACGGTTTATACTGAAAACCCTAGAGAGCTTTTTTTTTTTTTTCTCATGTGTAAAGTTATTCTCTGTGCTCATGTTGTGGAGGAATGTTGAATTCTTTTGCACCCATGTTTGTGGGATGCTACACATTTAATTGTGCATTTGTTGTTTAGCAACTTTTACTAAATAATTGAGTCACAAACCAATGTGGCCAAAATTAATAGTATGTGAACAACATGCATCAGCGTTTTGGCTAAATCAGCTTGCTGCACAAACAAAACGGGAAATAACCAACAAAAGCAGAACTCATCACTGCTCAGTACAGTTTAAAAAAAAAAATCATCATGTACTCTGGCTTCCCAAAGGAAATGTTAAATTCATGTACAATATGCCCTACCTTTATAACCCTGGCTCATCTGTGTTGGATAACATTTTGGAATACCTCATGTGTGACCTCTGAACAGTTATAGCTAACAGTAGTGCTGTCATCGTGACAAAAATGGTATTCAGAGTTCATTGTGTTGCAATCCATTTCGGGAAATCTTATTCGTCAAGTCCTGCAAGTGTTTCTTCATCTAAAGAAAAAAAAGTGTGATAGGGTTATTAAAAATCCACACAGTACAATAACCAGAAAATCCACAAAGTACAGTAACCAAAAAAGTTGTTATTCTAAAACCCAGTTTGCAGCTCTACCTTGTATCCCATTTCTCGTGCTTTCTCAGCAAGAGTGTTGTATTTCTCTTTGTTTCTCATGATGTGATCTTTGTCTCCCAGGGCCTCCACATGCTTCAGTTTCTGATGAGACAGTTCCAGCTGCTCCTGATAGTGCTGGTGCTTCTCCACCTTTGTTTCAAAGTGTCCAAGCTCCTCCTAATGAGAGAAGAAAAAAACGAAACTTCAGGAATTTTGAAAATAATCTTTATACCAATGTAAAGCCAAGCATATTAAAATAAAACGGAAATGCAATATTTAGCAGTAATTTGGCTGTGCAGTAATAATCTGAATGGTATTCATGTTACGACATAAGCAAAGCTTACTTTAAGAGAGTCAAGTTCGTCTTCACTGAGATTTGATCTTTTTGCCATCTCCCAAAGTTCTATGACTCGTGGCTCCTTAAATTCTGCCACAGACAACGAGAGCATTAGAAAGTCATGCGGCAATTCATTTATGAAACATGAATTCAACCTTAGCGAAGGTCTCCACCACTGTCAGCACTGTAACCCTCATGGGTGATCTTGCGGAGCCGTTCAAAGCCCTGGTTCAGGTTCCTCATCCTCTGCTTCAGATCTGAGTGTTTCTGATGGAGAACATGTTCCTTCATGTCACCCTCCAGAGGACTGATTACATTCTTATGGATCTCTGATGGAAAGAACAGTGCATGAGACATTTATTCAGCAGGATCTGAAATTTTAAGAAAAAGATTGTGAGAATCTGCTCAGGAGGTTGGAATTTAAACAGCCCCATTATTAAACTTACCAAAAGCATCGTTAGCTAACTATGGTCGCAAGTTCCGTTATTACCAATGACTTAAACTTTGAAGCAAAACGACGGAATAAAAACACTGAATTAGTCCTTAGATGCCATGTTCGTTACAGCAACATCTCAGAAACAACAATAACCTGATATTATGTTCTCAAAACAATTAATTAGCAGCTTTTACTCTACCACTTGCATTTGACATCATTAATGCAAGTCCTTTATTGTTAAACCAACTTGATTTAAACAACAGAGGTGTGACTATGCTGCTATGTTTTCGGGGGAGCAGTTGTGATTAGTTAGCCCCAATAATGCATCATACTACAGTACATAATTAACCTGGCCAAAAAAAAAAAACTTATTAGAAATAGTCCTGCCTCATATAGCCTTTCAGGGATCTTTTATATTCTTACAACTTAATACTATTACAGATCCTACGTGACATCTTGGCACTAAACTCTAACCTTCTGTCCGGCTGACAGTGTCCATGACAATGTTGTACTCATTGATTTTGTCTTTGTGGTGCTGGAATTCTCTCTGCAAGGTCTGGAGCTCCTCGTCAGAGAACTTTCCAGAAGTCTTAGCCTGAGGATCAAAGGTTGAAGAGAACATTTAAGCAAAGTTGGTAATAAGTGAACACAACACGTCTGTAAACCTGCAAATGAGTTACACGTTCACACTCTAGTAGTCGTTTCATCCTATCAGTTACCTTGTTCCACAGCTTGTCCAGCTTTGGGTCATCAAATGTGTCTCCCTCTTTAACATCATGATCTTTCAGTCTGTTGCTGTCCAGTGTCCGGGTGTCTTTTTTCCCATCCATTCCATACTTTGCTAAAATAACTGTGCAAACAAACAGAGATATTTATTATATGAAAGATATAGTCATTTTAGTTACCAGTGTGCTCCATATCATAAAAACAATAGCATTTTCTGTCCCAGCTTCCAGTAGCAATAGGAAATATGTCAACAAATGAAATCAAGCTTTTTCAGGAGTTCTTTGAATATCATATGCCACAAAAACAGTCAAATCCTACTATTAAAATTGCGTCTGAGCTTGGCTTCTCTCTCTCCATCCTCATCCATCCCTTCTGCTTTCAGTTTTTTCCACTGAAGTTCATCTTTCTCTTGGATCTTCAAGTCACTGTGGAGTTCTGAGAGTCGCACCGGTGCAAGCTGCATCTGAAGCAGATATGGTGATGGACAGTTATACACATTATAATGTTCAAAAGAAGCCATGTTATAAAACCTGTGCAGTCATGAAACACTATAGTATATTGATTTAAACACAATGATAAAAGAAGGACAAGCAGAATATCCCATAACACTGACCAAAATGAATGATTGTATATTTATAATATATTATATATTTTTAATCCGTCACATTACTTACTCTTATCGCCTTTTCCCAAACCTGATTTAGTTTGGCAATCCTGAATTCCACCTGATTGTTGTTTTTATCAGATGCCTTTTGTTCATTCAATTCTTTCGAGTACTTCCCACCCATTGCTCCGACAACAAACAAAGCAAGCAAAATTAGAATCTGCATTTTCATTTTGACACTCAAGAAGCAAATTAGTTACAAAAGGTATGAAAGTGTGTAATGTTTTCTAGAGCATCTGCAGCGCTA